GTCTTTATCTCACAACGCTTGTACAGTTACACTCCCATTTTCTTCATGCCTTCTAGTGTTTGCCTCATGCAGCCGGTCACGTAGTCGTGAATGTACCAATTCACTACTCCCCTACACAAGTAACCGTTGACGATAAAAAAAACGCTTTTGTTGCGATGTGTTTCTCCCTCGAAACCGGGTCTTACTAGTTGGTTGTGTCCGATCCTTAGTAGCTGTCCAGATTTTTTTGATTTGCCCATAAATTCTATAACTGGGATCGGTGTAGAATAAATTGCACACTGCCACCCAGACGGTTCGGCCGCCTATTGACAGTTATCGGGTGTCAGTATTTCGTACCCATTAGTGTTTCGTATCGTTTGCCGCCTGACCACTCAACAAATTATAGAAATCACAGCATTGTGTTAAACGTTTATTGACTCGGTCAGCGACAAGTTATGGTACAACTAGATCTCTGTGGGCAGCGTTTGGTAAGCGACCACAAAGTATCCCTTATTTTTTAGCTGGATCAGTCGACCTGGTAGATGACCAAACGCACAACCAATGGTTTTCTGGCTGACATGCACGTGCCATGTTCGTCCGTACTGTTCCTCCAAACTTTTCCCAATCTGCGATGCCAAGTTGCACTCTTTCATATCCGCACCTAATCCGTCATGAATGACACGAGTGACTTGTTGTTTGAACGTTTTCATCTCCGGGTCTTCGTCCGGATTGATCTCCTTTGTTATGAAGGATTGCATACTCAGTTCCTCGGAAGCGTCACATTGGTCCTCGGATTTCCATTTGGGCAATGTTCCCGAAATGGATTGTTCAAAGTCGTATTGGTCGATGCTATGATCGTCGTTCAAGTTTGGCGTAGATTGGTAAATGAAGTCCGTTCTGTCCCCCACTTGCCGACGGTGCATTCGTTCTCTGCCGAAAACGGGAAGAAAGAATAGATCATTTTAACTTGGTTAAACAAGACCGACCGGGAGTGAGAACGAATATATACTTCAATGATAGGGACATGCTGGTCGTCACTTTTTGTTTCATGAAACCCATGAAATTCCGGTTTGTTTTCATGGACCCGGAGCTGAAATGATTCGAACTCGGTCATAGTATAATAGTGAATTATTAAGTCCGGTTTTGTGAATGAATAACGGGAGTCCAGTGCGATACCTGATACATGTGAGCGCTGCACTGATTTTTTGTGACGGATTGTCATGAGGCAAATTGACTCGTGATGTTCTCATTCAAAACAGTCGGATTTTTAAGCCGTTCATCGATTCCCACCTTTCTTCTGCAAATTCCAATGTATTCTGTACTTCCTATTGGTGAGCAGTGTTCAATAACCTCGGCCATTTTCGCAATGGATGTTCAACGAACTATTACTATCCACGAACCAGCTTCGCATGCGTTCAGGTTTGTCGTGTAAAAAACGGTCTACTTCGCAATCACAAACGCGGCCTGAGACACGAGGTTCGACATCTGCTACCACCAACCAACTTGTTGGTGTTGAACATTTGCGTTTTCGCTCGGCTCAATATTGCGTAGACTGTTTGAGGGAGATTTGTTATCTCGATTGACAGTTTAGAAAACCAAACAATAAGTGCTCGTGAAAATGGATTTCATTGTTCGTCGAACGTTAGTGGACAGTGAAAGAGTGTTTATTCAGCTTATCATATTTGTAGAGCTTGGTACTAAAAGAAGAAGCAGATGGTTCTGTCCTTATGACGTTTGTTTCAGAAATCGAGACAATTTTGTTTGAGGAAGCTTGCATGCTGTCTTAGAGGCGCGAATTCCGGGCAGTGTGAATATTACCGGTGTCCATCAGCAAATTGGCATTTGCTTGTAACGTATATATATATATATATATATATATATATATATATATATCCACCTTGTCNCGAACATGGTTTCGCGTACCCTACCGCTCCCTTCCTTTGACCTCGTTCACAATGAGAGCACTGATGCGTATGGGAAGATGAGCTGGTCCGACGTTTATGTTCGAAAGTCTTGGGTGCATCTTATGTTGGTCGAACGGCACGACAACTTTCTACCCGGATCAAAGAGCATTACCCACACTTGTTAAGACTAGGACAGATTGGATCAATAAACAGCTCCATCTTAGACCATTTAGTTGACACCGGCCGTTGCATTCAAAGTTGTTTATCGTGTCCCTCCCACACCAAAGCAATTGTGCACCCTAGCAATAGCCGAAGCGATCGGGATAAGAAAGTTGACCCCTGACCTCTGCACCCAAAAGCGTTCGGTTCAGTCACTCCAACTTCCATGGCCCGTGATCGATCAGGACCACCGTCCAGTCACCTTGGGGCCGTAATTTAGTTAAACCAATCAAACGACATACCAGTTGACTACTACAAACTTTCACCCATGGTTGGTGATGTGTCTAATTGTGTAATCTGTTTTTTAATGTTACCTGTGTAACCTGTTTTGCAGCCGTTATGCGAATGGTTTGGTAGCCTTTTCCAGAATCTACTATTGAAACTGAATTGTAAAAGGCTCAGTAGTCTCGGTGGAATTGGAATCCACGCATGGGTTTGGAGTAGGATGAAGAATAGCAGTAGAATAACAGTAGTCCCCTGTGTTCTCTGATCATTCCTCGTTTTATTTGAACTGGATGTGGTGTTTGGCGCTCATCTCGTACCACTAAATCCAGTAGAAATGTACTATGGTCTAGAGTATGGATCATCTGAAATAATTCAGGAACTGATGAATCATCCGCTGACTGTTCGTTTTGTCGTACATTTCACCAATCACGTGGGACGATTGTTATGCTTAGAAGACTGTCTGTTTCGAATCACTACCAAATCTAGTATTTCTTCATCCGCTTTAAAAATGCCCGATCAAATGTCAACAGTACAGTCAAGAAGGCTGATCATTAATCTGACTAGAACCGTTTACTATTGTCTCATATATCAAATATTTTCCGAATTGTCAACGTGCAGAAATCACCCAACTAGTTCATTGAATAGTTTGGCTGTGATTGTATGACGTTGCACTAACACAGTCTGTGGCTTGCAGTCGTCATGCACTGGAAATCAGTTGGGTTTCTGTCGCGTTTCCAACCCCTTACCACCATCGTCCTCCGGGCTTTGGGCTTTCAGTTCTGCCACAGGTTTAAACGGCACTCTGTTATTGTCATCGGACTCAATACTACCGCTGGCCTATGATGGATTGCCACTTCCTGGAGTCCGGTTCCCACGGTAGACTAGGACTCATTCCCATCAAAACTGTATACACGGCCACAGAACTTGAGTCGATTGATGTACTTTCATTCTACATCAAACACTGCTTTATGGTCTGGGTTTTTATGAATTGGGGATTTTGGTTCGTTCTCGAGGGAACTCATCCGCAAGCCTTATTATGTGCCTGTCAGGACATCACTGATTACGGGTTCATTGACTTTTGGAATTTTGAATACGTATATGACGCTTCGTTTGCTTTCACACTAGTACTTACCTTACCACATCCCGATCCTTGACATTTGCGAACATTGGGTTAGGCTTTGAACTGGTAACTTGCTTGAAGACTTCAGTTTGTGAAACCTCACAGTTCCTAATCATACCAACTTAGGTATTTCCGTAAAGTCATGAAGCAGGTGGCTTAGCGGTTGAATCTGATTGTTTGGAGACATTGAAGGATGTGACAATTCACCGACAGCAGTGGCATTCTTGTTGTCATTTCTTATCCGGTCAGAATGCTCGAAAAAGTGTGTTCACACTTAGATTGTGTTGATCTTATAGGTTTAACTTCTTTGCCTCCTTCTAATTAGGCCCAAACCCTATCCATCTTGTACTTTCTGACTTACTTTGTGTACACTGAAAGCTTGACAGCGATCAACGAAATTCACTTCACTTGATCTCGCTGTACGATGATGATGATTAGAGGCTATCTACCAATCAATTTCTACCTGGTTATCACCGTTATTTGTTTGATATTGACAAAGCTGATCCGAATCTGCCTTCTACTCTCCCTTTCTGTTTTAGTCAATGTTCTTGCTTGTTTTGATGGTAAAAAGAGTTTGTTCTGTACAGAATGATGTGATACAAAATGTGACGTATTATCCAGTTAATGAGTCTCCGAAAAAACTGTATTATAGATTCAGAGTTGTTGTTCTTGTGACTGACCAAACTCCCGCACTTGAAATTGTGCTTGGGCCTGCAATCTCACTTCCCTCAATCTGATAGATAGGCGTTCAAACCGCTCTGATTTCCACACTTGTAGTTCAGAGCGTGTATTTGGTGCATGTATCGTTCTAGTTGCTATTATTGTTGTCGTCGGAGTTCGGCTTTGTGTGCCGATTGCTCAGGTCACTGTTACGAACCTCTGCATGCAAAACAGAAAACACTTCACCTGAGTTTGACCTTGTACTCCACGAGACGCACTAAGTTTGAATTCGACCCAATCCGCCCACGCCCACGCGAAATATAGTGAATAAAAAAGCTGGACTACGGCCGTCTATCGCAATAAGTATTTACCGATCGAACGATTCTAATGCATATGACTTTTCAAACAAAGCATAACGGTGAACAAGATTTTTTTCAGTGATTCGTACCTATGCCAGTGCATCACAGCGCATATCACAAATGGTAATAAACTTGTCTTGGAAAGCGAAAAAATTACTAGGATTAATTTGATCATGATACCGGAATTCGAATTCGCAATGATCACCTTGTCCGATCGCATAGTTGTTGGTTTACTAATCCGGTTGTGGTGTGTGGTGGCGGAGGGTAAGTAGGCTAATCAAATTTAAGTGCCTACGCCAATTGCTTTTGGGCAGTCAGAGGGGGCTTCTGCAGACAAATTCCCAGCCCTTCTTGATAATCGGCTATGA